ATAAAAACCCAACGGGCTCGTTTCGGTAATGGGCTTTTATGATCCATGAACAAGTTCTCGCGGTTACCGAGGCGAAATGATGTTGTAAAATCCTCCAAGCCTATATATATCACTCTTCCTTCCCATTCCTCCCACAATCCTCATTTCTGCAAAATCTCCAAAAGGTAACCTTCTTTCTCTCTCTACCCTCTCTCTTCTTTGTTTTATTTTTAGGTCAGCTTTTTTTTAAATCTCTCTACGCCGCCGAGTTGCCCCAAATCTCGATCTAGTCGAAATAATCCGATAGGAAGATACTCAACCGAGGTTTGGTTGAGGGTCAAAGGACGCCGAAGTTAAAGAGGGCCGAGGCGTGAGAATTCGGCTTTGGTAACAAGTTGTTGAGGAAATCCGTTGACGTTGAGCCGAGGTGAAGGGAGCAATTTGTCAAGGCAGTGGAGGTCTAGATTTTATCGGCGACACTAAGGTCAGGCGGAGCCGAGGCGAGTGTGAAACCGAGGTGGAGGAGTTATCAGTAGAGGAAAGGAAAGAGGCGGAGCGCCGCCGAGGCGAAGAGGCTTTTTCTATGGAGGATCCGAGTCGACGTCGTTCTGGTTTCGGCGACAAGGTCAAATTTAGAACCGAGGTGAAGAGGAATTGTGGAAGCGATGAGGTCAGTGAAGCTTTCGACGTTGGTTTCGGTCGGTAAGTTGGATTGGTTTGGTGTGAAACCGAAGCGAATCTTTGTTGTAGTGGTGCTGAGGCGAGCTTCGCAACACTTGGTGGACTGTCGTCGAGGTTGAAGAGACGGGACGGCGATTAGTTCGAACAGAAAGAGTCGGTGTGAATTCAAGACATTGACGCGGTCGCGATTTTGGTTTTCATGTTAACGCCGAAGTGAAGTATTGGAGACGCCGCCAAAGCGACATTGATTCACCGCCGAGGTGACCTTGATTCATCGCCGAGGTGACCTTAACAAAATGCCGAGGTGACTTCGTCGCTGTTACAATCGGTGTGATACTTATTGCAACCGAGGCGAAACCGAGGCGAGAGAGATGCCAAAGAACTCATCCCCTTTGAGCCTATGGACTCGTCCTTTGGAGGCAGGTCCTTCGAACGCTTCTCCATACTTAGACGATATTGTTGAGTCGATTGCTGGTCCTTCTCTTCTAGGAAGAAAGATTTTTCACTCGCCTGAATTCGATGCTGGTAGCGCAACACACCGAGTCTCTACTGGAGCCTTAGTAGAGGAGATACGGGATGACGCTGGAACCGTCAAGTCTGAGCAGGAGGACGAGGCGGAGACCGAGGATGATACTCTAATTGTGCGGATTCCTAAGAGGAAGAGGAAGCCACGAGTCAAGCCTGACCAGCCAGGTTCTACTCTCTCGTCACAACAGTCTCTGCGTGACCTCCGAGGTCGTTTTAGGATATCCAAGGAGGTCAAGTTTGCTCTTCCTACCTCATCG